CCCGCGAGGTCCGTGGGACAGAGAGCTTGGGACGCCTGAAGGAGGTGGGAGGCGGCGGGGAGAGAACGCCGCGACTGCGCGGCACGCAGCGCCCTCTAGCAAACTATTTCGGTGCCGCCCTTAAAAAAGGGGAGAAGCAACCGGCGGAAAGGCGAAACCGCTCGCTCCTGAAGCGCCAGCCGCGGAAGGGACTTCGTGCTTTTGTTCTGAGCTGGAGGTTGGCGGATGGTTAGTTGGACGGTTTCCTCCGACGGCTGCCGAAAGAACTGCCTTTCCCGGCCGCTGGCTCTCTTTTGCAGGTCGCGTGCCGCTGCCCTGTCCCATGCCGCTGCGCCAGAAGCCCCCTTCGCTGCCCCCCCGGCGTCAGCTCGATTTTGGACGATTGTGGCTGCTGCCAAGTGTGCGCCCGCCAGCTCAACGAGGACTGTGACAGGCTGTCGCCCTGCGACCCTCATAAAGGCCTGGAGTGCAATTTTGGGGCCGACCCGTTAGCGAGTCGGGGCATCTGTTGGGGTAAGAGGTGCAGAATCTCTCTTATATTCTTAGCACGCACATAACCGGAGCTGGAGGAGCCTTCACAATCTGGTAGCTGTAGCTGAGGTGGATTACAGCTTCCTCCATTCCCAGCCATGCTGGAAGAGGGGTCTGGAGGTTGTCATCCAAAAGCATGTCTGAATGATACAAGGTTGGAGTTCCACTGTTGTATTTCTAGAAATCTACTGCTGAAATTGGGCTATTTTTAGCAAATAAAAAAAAAAATCAAATTCCTCCTTTAAAACAATTTTGTAAGCATTTTATAAAGGGATTTCTTCATGTTTGTCCTATTACAATATGTTAATAGTTACGAATTTGCAGTGAAGTTATAAATTGTTCTGGTTCATAACATAGTATTCACCCCAGTGAAGTTCCTAGGTGATTAAGCGTTGAAAAGTGGTTGACCTACTTTTCAGATAAGTTACCATTAGTTTCACAAGACAGCAGCATTCTATATGGGAAGCAGGGAATGGTTCCAAATCCACCTGCCCTAGAAAGATTCATTCATTCATTCATTGCTTTGTGGCAGATTTTGGCAGGGCACAATCTTTGCATGCAAAAAGGTCATAGGAGATAGTTGATACAGTATTTCCAAATAGGGTGGGCGACTGGCAGAAGGCCTGGAGAGCCACTGCCCATCACTCTGTGTAGACAGTTTTGACTAGATGGACCAATGGTTTAACAGTTTTGTTCATCTGAGCCATTGGCTTATAAATCAAAGTTGAACTGGTCTCCATGCCCCAGTGGTATTTTTCAGAGAAGTTCGGAAGTTATTGGAGATAGGGAGATCATTCAGAGCTGATGCAGATAACTTGTGCAAGTTTCAGAAATACTGTGTCTTATCCCAGCTTCCTCCAGATTGCTGGCAAGTATGGGACCTCTGTAGTGCCTAGTAGCTTCTGTGCTCAGTAGTAGAGAAATATACAAAAAGATCGGGGCAATGATATAAATCCACAGATTTGAGAGAATGGATATGTTTGTTGATCAGTACATGGAAGTGAAAATAAAAGTGAGAAAGAATGCACATAGAAAATTAGATTGCATAACTGAAGGAGGTTTGCTCCTTAGCAGGCAGAATAGATGACATTTTGTCCCAAGGTATTTCCATAGGTAGGATATCTAGGAAGTACACATGTGAGCAGACTTGCTTTAAAAACTGGTGACCTAGATCATTTAGGGAAGCCCATAACCTCATACACGCAGTGGAAAAATATACAGCAAATAAGAGAAACCCTATACACCCAGAAAGAACAATGAAAAGAAGACAAACAGCTGCAGAGCAAGAAGGTGAAAACCACATCCTTTTATGCTAGAATTCTTCTGACCAGACCCTCTAGCCCAGTGTTTCTCAACCTTGGCAACTTGAAGATATATGGACTTCAGCTCCCAGAATTCCCCAGCCAGCATGCTGGCTGCTCTAGCAGAAGGCCCTCCAATCCTGTCCCAAGCCACCGCAACCTGATCCCAGACTATGTGTGCTTTTGACATCCTGTTTTCACATGTCTATTTAAAGCTCAGGACACTCACCTCTTGTTGACATGGCCCCTCAAAACTCAGTTCTGCACATAAATATTTTTCTCTCACTTCTGATGCTGGTAGCCAATGGCTTGCTGTGTTTTTCACTTCTGCATAATCTAATTCTGAGGCTTTCAGGTATGTTTTGATGAGGACCACTCCCAGCTTGAACTAAAGTTGTATATTAGAGCAGACCAGTAGGAAGTGACCTTGAAGTCTTCTCAATACCTCTTGGTTATTTTTTGAGATCTGTTGTGCGATCAGTGCTCCCTGGTGACCATGAAGGTCAAATCCTAATTAGATATAGGCTGCGGGGGGATTTTGTGTTGGAGTTCAGAATGATGAAGATTTCCTTTTGCAGTTATTTCAAAGGATCTTATGTATGTTTGAAAATAGATTAATAAAAAACTATCTGGTTTGGGAGAAAAAAAGGAACTTGGGTGGCATGATTAGTGGTAGTTTGCCCTAACACTATACCTTGGTAGTTCATGCGATCTGTAGCTTCTAGCAGGATCCACTTATAAATGTGTAAGTTATATATATTATGTCTTTAAAGACACAACTACTAAATTGGAGTGACATCTTTTTTCTTCCCTTCCTCAGCAAAGCAAGAAGGTCGGACCTGCGAATACAATGGCCGTATCTACCAAAACGGAGAGAATTTTCAGCCTAGCTGCAAACATCAGTGCACTTGCATTGATGGAGCAGTAGGTTGCCAGCCACTCTGCCCACTGGAACTGCCTCTGGCCTCGCTAGGCTGTCCCAGTCCCCGGCTCCTTAAAGTGCCTGGTCAATGCTGCAAGAAGTTTGTCTGCAATAAAGGACCCAAGAAGTATGGAGGTGTCACCTTTGAGTACAACTCAAATGGAGAGGCCAGTAGCAATGAACTCATCTATGTGGGCAAAGGTGGACACTGGAAAAACCTGCCAGGTGAGTGGGCAGAAGGGAGAGACTCAGCAAAGTGTAGGGTGTGACTCAAGCCCCACCAGTGTAAGCGGGTGTGTTCAGTTAGGGTCTCTAAGCATTTCCAGTGTTCAACTGAAAGAAACATTCATCTTGGTAAAGTTGGAAAGAAATCACAGGGAGAGAGGATTTTGCAATTTATAATTGTTTCAAAGAGCTAGGGAGGGGTAGCTATAAGGCCACAAAGTTGCCTCTGTCAGGGATATTCTTTTGAAGGAACAACCAGTGCAGTGTACCTAACCAGAATATCCATTAGTCATCAACTTTTTAAGGCTGGAATGTCATAGGCTCTCTGCATGGGATTACTGCTTCAGGATAAGTTTACTATTCTTAAAGTAGTTTGTGGGGACACTTCATTCATGTTATATAACTCTAGTAGCACTTTTTAGGCCTGTGTCTTACTCAGATTAGGTTTTCAGGGGCAATACATGGAAAACCGCAGCAATATAATCTTAATGTAATTGAATGTGACATCAGTATAAGGATTCCTGCGGCCAGGTTTTGGCCAAAGGCGGTCTCCTAAAGTTGTTGTCCATTGAATTTTCTGGTTGAGGCTGAGTCTTTTGTTGTCTGTATGCAATCTGTGCACTCTCAAAAGTTTGTGCTTTGAGAAGATGGGCATAGGATATATAACCAGTTGAGCTTAAGAACAGTTTTCTTCCAACAACAAGAGATGAAAAGCTCGCCCTGTGTTGGGAGCTGATTCTAAGTTGGATGGAGACGCTAAACAAAAATAGGGGTAAGAATGGCAGTAGCCTGTTGCCCTTTTGGGATCTAAATCTGATGCTCCTTGAGGTCATGAAATGTGATTCTCCATTTGCATTTGCTTTGGTTTCCAGCTGCTATTTCTACTAAACATGCCTGGGGGTGATGAGGGTGGGGTCAGAAAACACTGCATCCATGTGAGGAGGTGATTTCACCTGATTTACGGAGGGCAACTGCACTTCTCAAGTTCTCAGATGATTGCAAGGGGATTGCCAGACAATTCTGTGGGTTCATTCTCACATCCTGCTAGCCACAGCAAGAAGATGGTTGACTGTTTTTGTGGGACACGTCCTCATGGCACTGCCTCCATCTCATTCCCAGCCCACTACTGAGGCAGCCTAGACCCATCCTTAGTTGTTCCAGTTTGGAAGTAGTGTTTCCTTTCCCAACGCAAAACTTCCCAGGCAGACGCACCTTGGGATGACACGGCCAGGGAGCACTGTCTGCTGAATTCCAATGGGTCTCTCCCCATTCAGCTGTTGGGCACTATGCCTCCATGAGTATTTTGGTTTTGGCTGCAACCTGGTCTTTTCACCTTTCCATTGGAATATCAGACTCCCAGGAGATCGATAGAATAGCAGGAATCTTGCTATTTAGTATGAGTGTACAGTACGTGTGTGTGTGTGTGTAAAAATAGGAAAAGCCTAAGAGACACACACACCCACAAGGAATGGGAGGTGGGAGAGGGAAAAGGTGCTTTGCCTGATCAAAAATGATTTGCAGAGGAAATTGGCTTCAGAAAATTAAAAAAAAAGATCTAGAGACAAATGATCTAAAGGCACAGTAGCACTGAGATCTTTCTGGGTCAGGCATCTCTGCATTTCCAGTGAGCTCTTTTGATCTCTCAGGCAGGCTTTTTGGCCAAAGGCGGTCTCCTAAAGTTGTTGTCCATTGAATTTTCCCCATCCCCATCTCTCAGGTGGGGAGGGCACAGATTGTTTGAAGTAGATATGTTTTCTATGACAGGACTATGAAATGGTGTCATAGATGCTGCCATCTAGAGGTTATTTGGATCATTGCAGGTTTTTCAGAGGATTGTGGATCTCCTGGGAGTGTGATAGGTCAGAAGAAGCAGGTAATAAATGATAAAAATTAAGGCTTGATTTATCAGCCCCACTGTCACATGTTTAGGAGAGTGCTCGGTGGCTGGTTTTTCTTCTGGAAAGCTTGGCAAGGAATCCATCAATCACTGCCCTGAAACTACCCTGTGTTAAAAGTTACATGAAGGCAGCAACACTGTCCATCCTTGTTGCTGAGGCATGATAAAGTTAGGTGGGAGGGGCAGCACAATTTATGTCAATATAACTTCTTCCCAGCTCAAGGACAGGAGGAAACACATGGCTGTGAGAAACAGCCCTGCCTCTTGTTTAATTTTCCATGGCAAAATAGAGGCAAGGATCGTCCTCAGACATTCTTAACCTTACAGGGGTGAAGAAGAAGAGGCATGTTCTGCAGACATCAGGTGGGCCCCACTGACTTGATACACTGCTTAGTCACCAAAGTCTTAAACCCAGCAAAGTTGGTATCTAAACCCCAGAGCTCATATTTGTTCTATTTCTTCCTCTTTCTTCTCTTTTCCCTGCTATAACCATCTTTTCTGTATTTCCTCCATGATACATGGCTTGCTTTGACCTCTTCATGCAATTCCCATTTTGAGTAGCAGGACTGCCACAGAGGCTCTTCTCAACATAAGAGCATTGCTGGATAAATCTGAGCATCTAAATAATTCAACACTCTGTTTCTGAAAGTGCCCAGCCTCTGAGCAACTCACCAGCAGTGCACTAATGGTTGCCCACCACTGGTCCATCAACAGCATCTTGTTGCTTACAGTCATGTGCAGTTGTTCTGCTCTTTGTGCCCTTGGGATCCGTGTGATGGTGAAGTAATGAGGGTTTCCATCTCTGTCCCCAGGATGGAGGCCATTCTTCCAGGATCAGGTTACAAAGCAGGAGCGCAAATGCTTGGCTCAGACCACACACTGGTCACCGTGCTCTAAGAGCTGTGGATTTGGCATCTCTACCCGCATCAATAGCAACAATCCCCATTGCAAGCTGATCAAAGAAACTCGGTTGTGTCAGATCAGGCCCTGTGGGCAGCCTGATTTTTCAAAGCTAAAGGTGAGATTGCAGAACCCAAAGAAGGGGTGGGGTGGGGGTATTGGTAATAGCAGCCTTCCCCATTGATCCTAACCACAGACCATGCTGTGTGAGTTGACCCTTTGTAATCCAAATGGGGAAGAGAAGCTTACAGTTACAGCCCGTTTCTGGAAATCAGAATGGGCACGTATGTGTTAAGAAATAAACAAATGTGGGTTTCCTGCAGCCAGGTATTGGAGAGATTCTGGGTAAGGAATGAGGTGTCTAATGAATGGAAAGGAGTCAGTGTCTCCTAACTGCATGCTGATCGGCGGTTCTCATTTCAGGCACCCTAAATGAGTGTTCTGTAGCTTGATCTTCTCCAGGGATATTTGGGACTACAACTTCAGAATTCTGCTGCCCATGCTGGTGGGAGGTTTAGGCTGGGTTGCCCCAGTACACCACACTGAGGAAAGCTATACTAATTCATAGCACTCTGGGGCTGAGAGAGGACTCTAAGTGTAGCATTAAATGCTTTCCTTTCCTTTTTCAGAAAGGCAAGAATTGTCTGAGGACACACAAAGTGCAAGAGCCAGTGAGATTCAGTTATGCTGGTTGCAAAAGCCCACGCCGTTACCAGCCAAGTTTCTGTGGGGCCTGCCTGGATGGCCGCTGCTGTGTACCCCTGCGTACTCGTACACTAAATGTACCCTTCCGTTGTCCTGATGGAAGCACTTTTACAAAGAACGTCATGATGATCCACACTTGCCAGTGTGGGGCAGCTCACTGCCCACTGCTGAGTGAAGCTGCTATGGGCCCCCAATATCAGCTGAATGGGGACATTCACAAGTTCCTGGAATGATAGAGCATGCCGAGTTCTCTGCTGGTGGCTGGCGAGCTGACGGATCTCCCAAATTACTTTGGGTCATCAAGGCCCCCTGCTTGATCCATGAAGCTAAGACAAGCTGTAGTTGCTCTGCTCTCCTGAATGCAAATTTGGAAGACAATATGGCATTTGGAAATGGCCTAACCCTTCGGTATTTGCAGAATGCATTGGGCTATGTTGGGAGCGTGGATATCTAGTGGCTGGGAATGGATCGAATAGCACTGATGTCAATCTCTCTATTCAGTCCAGCCAGGCTCAGGCTGGAACTGAGCCTTACTCTACTAGTGGAAGACTCAAATAAAGACTTCTGATTGTTTGAATTTCATGGCCCTCATGCTGGAAAGAAGGAGGAAGCACAGCATTATGCACTATTGGTAGCTGGAGGGTTCTGGTTCAGGTTGCCAAATCCCAACATGGGCAGTTTTGACATCTTCAAGATCCCAGGACTTGGAAAAAAACATAGTACACTTTAAGTTAGATAAGGAGCAACTATGCTGGAGTAAGTTGTCCTTCAAAAGAGGTATAATTCTGATGAGTTTGGGATCTGGCAATACAACCTTAAAGCAGCCTAATGAATAAGGAATTAGAAGGAAATGCGAGACAAAGTTCAGGCAACAAAGTATGTATTCCCCCACCCCCAACCCTCCTGTGATTTTTCTGACCAAGTGGCCAGAAAGAAAGGCTGGCTGGATCTTCCTCTCCCTTATATCACCATTGTTCACGTCTACTCTATTTACTTCCCCCTCATCCTTCAGTGCTAGTTTGCCCACCGAAGGCTGCCTTATTGCCGGCACACAGTGCCCCCTAGTGGCAAGATATTTTCTGGATGGAGCCACTTCCAATGATCCAGCAGGAAGGGAGTCTGCATAAAGACCCTAGGCCTCCACGGTCTACCTTCAGTCTCTTTCTCTAGTTTGCACTTCGTTAGGTTACCAGACTGTTGTTGCCAGTCTAGCTTTTACGCTTCACATTCATGGAGAGATGTTTCATATAGAGGAAAAATGAAAGTACTTTATGGGCAGAACAAACAGACATTTTAAAATGGGTTAAAGTGGAGTTGAAAGAGGAGGTGTTCCATATGTGGGAACTTTTTCCCATGTTAACCTCTGCTGAACAAGTTTAAAAAGTTTGTCCAAAGATGATAGTTGCACAGAAGAATTATGTGTTGGGTGGCAGCAGCAGAGATGTATAAAAAGCAGCGCCTGAGATACCTTCCATTCTCCAACCAATGATTGAGCCAAAGAGCACCCTTTACAAAAGCACTTAAAAAAAAAAAAAAGCATCTTGCTCCCACTCTGTTCTTGGTGAACAGCAAAAGGAATGGTCAAAAGAACAGGGCGCAGCGTTAGAAGGGACTGAAGTCAAACTGGGGCAGTTGGGAAAAACCTATATTTATGTGTGCAGCAAAGTACTCTTTTCTCTGAAGATGATTTTATTTTATGGACTTTGTTTTGTTTGTTTTGCATGAAGGAAAGCTTCAACACTAGATTGGAGTGACGGCTATTTAGCTTCATAATGAAGCCCTCTGTGCATTGCCTTCTGTATGTGAAGCTTTGATTCCATGCTTCCTATCTTAATCTTAGAGCTGCGAGAGTGAATTGTTCAGCGTTTGTCATTTTATTCTCTGTTTTGTGACCCTTCCTGCTTGATAGAAGGCTCTGCAGCAGGGAAACAGGATGCTGCCTTTCCAAAAGAGCTGATATTCATAATGGGCTTGATGTAATACTTCCAAAACAACCTTCTGCCAGAGATAGACAATGGAGTGGGTATATCTTATGGGCTTTGATTTCTCTTGATGGGTGGTAGGCATCTGGTGCCCACTAAATGCATTCAGCTGTAATTACCATCAACCTGAGTCAACATGAACGGTGGCAAGGGATTGTGGAACCATTACCCACTCCCAATCTGTGGTCCAGGGACCACTATTTGCCCATGGGGGTCCTCCAGGAAGGGCTGTAAGGGGCACACACATACACACACAGCCCAAATCCAGTGAGATTACAAAATCTTGTGAAAGGGTTGTGTTCTTGCTCACCATCGCCTGAGAACTTGACATTCTTTGTTTTGGCCTTTTAAGTTTAAAATTAATTATTATTTGATTTTGGGATCCCATGAACACTGTGTGTGTGTGTGGGGGGGTCAAATGCCATGGTGAGTGTAGGCACCACATGGTTGATCTCTGGCTTATGTGGCAGCCCTCAAAAGCTTTCATTGTAGGGCTTCAAATGAAGGAAAAATTGAAAGTCACTTGGAGGGTGCTAGCATGCTTTTGATTCTTAGAACCATCACTTTTGAATCTCCAACTCTCTCAAAATGACTTTAGAGATGGTTACAATAAAAGCAGCTGACTATTCTTGAGCTGTGGGGGGTGACCATTGCTAGCTACTTGCATTGGAATGGTATTTTGGACTCTTCCTCCCAAATCTGTAAGGGAACAGGCAGGACCTGGCCTTGTTTGGAATGCTTCTGCTATTTTTAAATATATTTTATTCAAAGCTATGCTGGTCCTTTATTTCAACGAAGATAATATGGCTATAATTCTGTACATTGTCATGTCCCTCCCCACGCCCTTTGGTGGAAGATGTACAGCCTCTTGAAGAAGAAAACTGAGAGCAGTAAGGTACTTCTGAATTTCTGGAGGCAGAACAGGAAACTCCTGATTCCTTCCAGATGAACTCCTCAGACCCTTCCTTTTACAGAAAACATCACTGGATATTGAATAATCAGCTGAGCCATCCCCTAGCATCTGGGAGCCCAGCAACTCAAGGCACTGGCATAATTGTTGAGCAATGCCCATTTGAAAACCAACCAACCAACCAGCCTGCTGGTGAGTATTGCCAAGAAAAGCATTCCTCATGAGTTGGAATATTCAAAGGCAATCTTGGATAGCGCTCAGCCAACCTTGTGTAGAGCTTTGGAAGTCAGGTTTAAATGCCTTTGCTTCGAGGATGCGGGTTCAATTTTTTTTAGATCAGCCCTTCCTTTGCTTGGCTTTGTGCAGCTCATTTTGCTGCATTTCTGCAGGTAGGTACTGCTGTGTCCTTAGCAGGATGCACACATGCACATACACACACCTCCTACTACATTAGGCCCGCAGTCCCTATTTCTCAGGAAGCAATGAAAGGCTTTCATGAGATATTAACAAGAGTGTATGTTGTATTTATATACATCATTTATAGCAGCCAGTTATGTTAACCTCTATAGCCTTATCTTTTAAAAGCTGACACATTCAATCAATACGTGTGTGTAATAAGTATAATATAGTGCTTTCAGCATTCTCAACCCTGGAACAGAATGTGTTGTGCTGACATAGTCAGAGATTAGAGAGACCAATACTAGTGGAACACAGTCCAGTAGTTATATATAACAAACCTTGGTCCATGGATGATTGACTTAATCCAATGCAATTTAATTTGTCAAGGGCTGTGATGGATGTGGCATATACATATCCAATATGAATAAAGCTGAATGTGGGAGATCTGGAATCATTCAATAGGAATTGGTTATAGCCAATAGGGATACTGCTATGAAAACAATAAAATAAAATCCGCAATATACAACATTAAGTGACAACGTACTATACTACAATGTACTATACTACAATAGCACACACATGCACGCATATATAATTATTCTAATCTGACATTGCTGTAGTAATCCCAGATGAATGTGTTAGCAAAGTGTAATTATTGAATGATGGGAGAGAGAATAAGATTGCATTTAGGATACCATTAAGACTTGCATTTAAAGAAAGAGGATAAGTTTAGAAGATAATAGTAATCGTTCAGTATAACATTTAATGTATTTTCATATTTATTACATTCATAGAGGACAGTCTATCACTGGCTATTAGTCTAAAAGGCTCAGCATGATCTCCAGGTTGTAGGAAAACAACAGCAGGCTGTGTCTCCCACAATGTGAGCCCCCCCCCCACCTCCAATTACATTTGCATGGCCACCAAGATGGGCCCTGGATGGATCAAACAGGGCTGTTCTTTTATTCATTCTGAAAATATAAATGATTATGGAATGCTGCTTTAAGTAAAATATTTAACATAAAATTAAACAAAATAGCCCAATATTGTTCCCAGTGATGGCAGAGGCTCTTTAAGGTTTCAAACCTGGATTTTTTTTTTTCAGTCCTTGAAGATGTCAGGGATTGAATCTGAGAATTTCTGCCTGCAAAGCATGTGTTCAAGCATTTATTTATTTATAATTGATTTATAAATAGAATATATAAAAACCACTTATCATTTCCATTCCTATGGTCACCTACTTGTGCAAATTCTGGGTAGCTTACAATGATTAATCATGACAGGTCTTCTTTTTTATAGAGAAATATTCAGATAAATGTGCAAAACAGAAGAAGAATTTAGAATGCAGGTTATGAAAAACATCCCGTTAAATCATACTGATGAGGGTAAGGGATTTAAAACAAAAACAACAAATAAAAAGGATGAAAGTGGTAGATAATAGTTTTCAAACATCTAAAAAAGAAAAAAAAATTGCCAAGGGGATCCCTCTGTAAACTGGGTGGGTTTATCTGACAAGAGCAGTATCGTCCTGTGTCTTAGAGCTGCCAATTTAAAATTTCAGAATGTCCCTGATAAAGTGTTGCTTCGAGATATTGTGAGTCATTTTAAATAGTGGATCATACAGTACTGTTTCATGTAGAGGCTTAATAGGGCTTGGTGAAATTCTTAGATCTTGGCAGATACAAAGGATACCACATACTGATCTCAGACCTAGAATACTTCAGATTCCTAACTAAAGTTAGGGAAAAAAATCTTAATTGGAAATTTATATTTGAGGTACATAAGAAATGGGAATCTTTCCCAAAATATCAGATCTTAACATTTAATGACTTCAGACTCTGGGGATATGCTCAATAAGGTTTCCTCAACTAGGTGGAGACTACAATGCCCATTGGTGTTATTATCATCACCACTACCACCTGCTTTTTTTCCAGAAGCAAAAAGTGGCTTACGCAGGTTTTTCCTTTCTTTGTACTTGCACCACAACCCAAGTATACAGGTTGGATTGAGAGAATAACTGGCCCAAAGTCATTCAGTGAATTTCCCTCTTTGTGAGGGAAGTGAGGGTAGACATGAATTTGGGTTTCCACAGTCCTAGTCCAATACCTTAATCTCTACACCAGGGTTCCTCAACCTTGGCAACTTTAAGATGGGTGGACTTCAACTCCCAAACCTTGGCTGGGGAATTCTGGGAATTTAAATCCACCCGT